GGGTTAGGTTTTAGAAAAAGCCTTTTGAGGGATGTTAGGTCAGCATTTAAAAATTGTTCCAGTCCCAGAGAAAGGCTGGATTGAAGCATGGCTTGGGATGTGGTGAGAGTTGCTGAGGAAATAAAAGTCCAGAACGGTAATAGAATCCAACAGGCTGTGGTTTCTTGGGTGGGAGACATTTCCAGCTCATTCATGGTAGGATCTCTCTGAAAGGGTGAGACCCCTAGAACTGGAGGATAAGGGCAAGTCACTTCATATCTCTGAGCCTCAGTTTCCCCACTGACTCCTTACCTGGTCAGGTCCAGATATCTCTCTTGTGAGCCTAGACAGACAAGCACCGGTGAAGGGGCATGTGTGTTCAGGGAAAGGCTGGGTCAGCTCCTGGGCCTTGCTGGTTGTGGGAAAACTCAGAGAAGGGCAAAGCCCCTAGGCTGTGAGGTGAGAGGTGGTTTACGTTTGGTTTCAGCCCAATTTCTCAATGTCCAATCTTTGATAGCATTAAAGCTCCCGATCACCTGCAGCAGCCCTGCCGGTCCTCAAGCTGCTGGGATTATAATCTCACATATCAGTCCGGGAAACAGGCTCAGAGAGGCGCAGTAACACTTTTGGCAGGACCGGGCTCCTTAGTGCCTGGGTGAGGCTGGGAAGCCCAAACCTCCGCTCACGCCCCTGAACACCGAGCTGCAAGGACGAAAACTACAACTCCCAGAATGCCGTTCGAAAGGGGCAGGAACCGGAAGTGGTCTGGGAGGCGGGGCCTGACATGCCCTGCCGCTGCCCGAGGTAATGGGTTCAGGTAAGCCTGGGGCTGGTGGCGGGACGGGATAGGGTCTGGGAGTCTGGTCCCTGACTGCTGCCGCGTTCGCGGACAGGGAAGACGCCGGGGAAACAGTGTTTAACAAGTGTGTGGCCTGGAGTTCCACGCCTCGGTGCTTTCCCTTCCTGCCTCCCCTCGCACCCGCAGCCTGCGGGCCAGGCGGGGTTCTTTGGGGCCCGGGGCCTAAGTGTTCTGTCGCTGAAGATGCCTGAGGCGTGGAGCCGCTTCCGTGGACTGAAATTTAGATTGAGAAAACGAGAGGAGCGTGCCAACAGAGATTGGCCCTTCACTGAGTGCTCAGGAATATGCTCATCAGGTGGGACTTGAGTTAGAAAACTCAGAGATGAAGGTGGGTGGGTGGGGCTGGCCAGCACTGAGGATACGTCTCTCAAGGAACCTGGTGATTGAAAAAGTGGATTTATTAATTCAGCTAGCTAGTATTTATTGAGCCTCTATTATGTACCAAGCCCCTTTCTAGGCATAGAGGTAAGAATGGGGAAGTTCCCACAAAAACTAAGTAAAATATATGCCACGTTGGATGGTGGAAATCTGAATGAGGTGAGGAATGAAGTTATATAATTATCTAGACTAGAGCAAGGATCTTGGTGGTAGAGAGAAGAGCAAGTGCAAAGGCCCTGGGGTGAGAATATCCTTGGTATGTTTAGATCTGATGGCGGAGGACAGTAGACAGGGGAAGTACACCTTAATGATCAGTACAGACCACTGTAAAGATTTTTGGCTGTTTACTGTAAGTGAAATAGAGATCCAGAATGGTTCTGAGCAGAAGAGTGATGATTCTCAATCCTGTAGGAGGCTTTTATTTTGCAAGACTCCGTATTGAGTGCTGGGGGTGTGCATGTGAATTCTTCATCTGGTCTTCTCTGGAAGTGTTTGTGATCTGGTGGGGAAACAGGCAGACCAGCTGTCATAAAAGACTGAGTCAGGTCTTTGCAGTCCCGTGAAGGCAGGATGAGTATCAACCCCAAATACTAGGCAAGTGCTATTAAGTCAAGTGCTTAACTATTTGTTAAATAAGTAATTAACTGAGTAACCTCAGTACCCAGAACTGGACCTGTAACGAGGCTCAGAAGATACTTTTTTAAATGAAGAAATGAAATACTATATGCATAGATAATGTCTCAATGGATTGTTAGATCTGTGCTTCAGTGATCACAAGGTGGTAAGCTTCGGCTCACTATTCACTGAGCTTCCATTCTGCGCCAAGTGAGGCTACAGAGATGAAAAGGATGTGGTCCCTGTCCTCAGGAATGCCCAATCTGCTGTTACAGGCTCTACTGGTAGCGGTTGGAGTTGCCTTCATTTGATTTTCAAGATCACTGTCGCCCAAGTTCCTGGTCTGAAAAGCATTCCCAGGGACTGTGGGAATTTAGGGAGGTCAGAGATACAGAGAGTGGGCTAGGAAAGAAGGAAATGGAGGCAGTGGTAGTAAAACTCTGTTTATCCAGCAAGTATTTATTTAAACACCACTGTTCAAAGATCTTTTGAACTTTTCTCCTCAGACAGACTTTTCTCCTCTCTCTCAGACTCTCTTTTCTCCTCAGACAGACTTTTCCAGTGAGGACATTCACTGCCTCCCAGTCATTCCCCTGAAGGTCCTGACACAGAGGAGGTGCTTAATGAATATTTATTTATTTTAATTTTTTACTAATCATCCTGTGTGAATCTTTTGTTCTGAGGTGAGTCTCTTTTAAATATATTTTTATTGATTTAGGAGAGGGAGGGAGAGGAAGATTGAGCCCCAAAGAATATTTATTGACTAAATTAATGGACAGACACAGATAAGAATGTAAAATACTGTGGAGTTCAGAGGAGGAAGAGATCACGTGGCTGTTAACAAACTAGCATTCATTTAACAAATTGGTTTTCTTCCCCTAATACAGTATTTCCCAAACTTCTCTCATGATGAGAATCACCTGGGGGAGTTGTTAAAATACAGATTCCTGAATCCCAACTAAGAAGTGCTAAACTAGAATTTTTGGGAACACATAGGTAAAATTGTATACTTAACTAGTGCTCTGTCTTAGAGCACTAGTAACTTAACAACTCCACCAGGTGATTCTCATCATGAGAGAAGTTTGGGCAACACTGCCTAATACAATGAGGTTGTTAAGTAGTAGGCCAGTTTAGTTTAAAAGTTTTCATTTGTTCTCTTCTGAATGCATAAGTGAAGAAAAATACAGATGGCACTCATGGTTGGCATACAAAGTTTGTTCAGTCATCTGAAGGGAGCTAGGTATCTTAGGGAGAGAGTGATAGGAACATCAGTGATGAGAGAGAATCATTGATTGGCTGCCTCCTGCACATCCTCTCCTGGGGATCTAGTCCACAACCCTGGCATGTGCCCTTGATCAGAGTCGAATCTGGGACCCTTCAGTCTGCAGGCCGATGCTCTATCCACTGAGCCAAACCAGGAAGGCTGGATACCTTCTGTTAAAAAAAGACATTTATAACTAACATCGCTATTCCTATGTGTACAGCACAGTGCTTCTTAAATGTTTAAGAATAACTTGGTATTTTCCCAATTTCTCTAGAATATTATGTACACTATTACATTTTTTGTATACCATAAACTCATTGTGACACAGTCAATAGTATATATACATACACTAAACTACATACTGACTATAAAAGAACAGAGTTTGAAGCAAAAGTAAACTCTAGCTTACGCAGGAAATTGAACACCAATTTCAAATCGTAAAAATCTTTACTGTAAATATGGCTCAAAAAAATTTTGGAGATCAAGATAACAGAAACAAAAAATAAAAGGGGTTAATTTTGTTTTTAAATCTTCACCCAAGGATATTTTTCTTTTGACTTGAGAGAGGGAGAGGGAGGGAAACAGACATATCTACCAGTTGCCTCCTGTACGAGCCCACAACCTGGGAATATGACAGGAATTGAACCCAAAACCCTTCGGTGCAAAGGACAATGTTCCAATGCGCCACACTGGCCAGGGCAAAAGGTTAATTTCAGTATTTGAATTCTAGTGTTTCACAGGGAATTGATAAAATTCAGAGTTGATTTTATCAGCTACAAATTGGGAATCAAGAAGTAATGGTGTAAGCATGTGATTTCAGGTTAAGGGGCTAATCACCAGAACTAAAAACGCCTGGTTAACAAAAGTTGCCTCTAGCCAAAACCGGTTTGGCTCAGTGGATAGAGCGTTGGCCTGTTGGACTCAAGGGTTCCAGGTTCAATTCCTATCAAGGGCATGTACCTTGGTTGCAGGGTACCAATATTTTATGATAAAAATATTTTATCATAAAAATATTTTCACCATGTGGGTCATAATACATAGATTTACTCGTTCAAAGGTAACACTTTTTCTAAGTTGATGGTAGCACACTGGACTCAGGAGCAGCCACGAGCAAGGGTTATACCATTCTTTGTGACAATTGGAGATTAGAGCATTTTTTACTCATCTCAGGGAGAGTGAATACCACTTCGATATTGTGACTTTCATGACGAGTGCTATTGTAATGGTTCTCTATATTTTTCTACCTTAGCACTTCTGAGGGATACTAAACATTCTCACAGTGACTGGCTTTCTGCTGCAATGATACTGGACTGAGATGGGGGGATGAATAGGTAATTTGGAAAAACAAATTTTGATAGGTCACCAGCAGCAACCCAGATGGAGCCTTGGTTGGTTTGGAGCCACTCTTTGCCATATTTTTTGACTCCCTCTTCATCCTCCTAGGCTGTACAGGACTTTGCATATAGTAAGTACTCAGTGGACATTTGCTTTGCATCCTAAAGGAGTGGTTTTGAAAATAAACTGAAAACAGAAAGGAGGTCGTTTTTGCCATCTCTGACCCACCCTCAACGTATGAGTGGATTTCAAAGAGCATGATACATGACTTGGTTTTCTGTGTCACTGCAGCAGTGAGTCACCGCTTGCTGGGAGGTGTCAGGATGGTGCTTGTCTTCTGAGCAGTGGATCTGGCTCCTTTACTACAGCAACGTTTCTGTGCTGACTCATTTCTCTGGAAGACACACATACTTTTCAGTAAGCCCATGTTAGTGTTTTCTGCACTTCTTCAGGAACAGTAACGCTGTCTGTCACTTGGATACAGGGGAGCACCTCTGTCAGGGCAGTAATGTAATGTCTCACATAACTGTGCCTTTTCTAATCTCGGTGAAAGGACAGAGGCCTAAGCACATGGACTGGAGACTGGAAGAGTCACACGTGCTGCAGGAGCGAGACATCCTCCCAGAGGACACGGACGAAGATGGCATCTCTGAAAGCTTCCAGCTTCTACAGATTGATGTGGAATGTGAGCCTCAGGAGAGGGAGGCCCTGCCCACAGGCAGTGCCTCCTGGTGCTCGGTGAGTGCAGTGGGTGGCCATGGGCAGTGAGATGATGGAAGGTCCCAGAGACCCCTCTTCTAAAGGTAGATACTGGTAACAAGAAGACTGGGAGTGAGTTTGGTGTATTCCAAGGGTTGAATTCCCTGCTCTCTGGTTTAAGGCTTCAGATCAAGAGGTTTTCTCTAAACACAATCCAGTTCATTTTTAAAATATATATATATTTTTTATTGACCTTTTACAGAGAGGAAGGGAATGGGATAGAGAGCTAGAAACATTGATGAGAGAGAAACATTGATCAGCTGCCTCCTGCACTGGGGATGTGCCCGCAACCAAGGCACATGCCCTGAACCAGAACCCTTCAGTCCATAGGCCGACGCTCTTATCCCCTGAGCCAAACCAGTCAGGGCTAATAAACACAATCCAGTCCATTTCTGTTGTTAAATCTAACATCCTTTTTCTCTCCTAACTTTATATCTAAATTTTTTTTAAAAAAAGTAACTGTTTCTAATATTCATTTTCCTTTTTGGTGCTTATGAAGTTTTCAAACAATTTTGTTTTCTGGATAACCTAAGAAAAATGTGCAAAGAAAACAGAGACACTGGGAAAAGATAGTTGCAGCAAAGAAGAGCAAAAGAAAGCAAGAAAAAGAAAGAAGAAAAGCCAATCGTATAGAAAATTCAGATAACAGTAAGTCAGGTTGGTGGTATAATTATATTTATTTGTTAGCAGACTGATATCTGTATGTTCCTAGAAGAAGAGTAATACTGTTTTTAAGTAAAAACAAACATCTAAGAGGTGAGACTTATAGTCCTATTTTGTTGGGCATCAAAGTATCAAAGAGAACGAAACTGAAGCCTGCCTTTCAGATGTAAACTATATAGTGTACATATCTTCTACACTATGGTAATAAAAGAGAAAGATGCAAATTGACCATACCTTAGCGGTACCCATCAGCCAACCAGGATTGAGTATGCAAATTAGCCCAACAAAGATGATGGGTTAATTTGCATACATACGCTGAGCAGCCGGGGGTGGGACGCAGACTTTCTGCACCACCCCAGCCACTCAGGGCCTCTGAGCAGCCTGGGAAGGCAGAAAGGTGGCTCCAGGTCAGAGCAAAGGTGGTGCAGGCAGTCAGGGGAAGGAAGGCCCATTCTTGCAAGAATCGTCGTGCATTAGGCCTCTAGTGTGTTTATAAGCTCAGAAGTAGAAGGAATGATACCAACAGCTATGTGCTAGATTCAGTGCTAAGAATTTTACCTGGATTACCCTAAAGGGTAGGTCTCTTATTATCCCCATTTTGAAGGTAAAAAGACTGAGGCTCAGAGGAATTAAATAACATGCTTTATAATAAATAAGCTGATATGAGTAATAAAGGAACTGAACTTAGATTTAGACCCAGCAGAGTGCTCCAGGGCCCACAGTCATCACCCCTCTGCTATACCTAAACTGCCTCATGAATGAATAGCTGGCACAAACTTCCAAGTTTCTAGTTTCCCTTCCTATGCAAATAGTACTCGCCTGGCTGGGGAGATTTGTTTCTTACTGAATATTATTCCTCTGTTTTCCCATTTTTTAAATATTTTTTCTGATATTTCCATTCTAGGCATCTACCCCCAGCACAGCAAACGTCTCCTGAGATCCTTAACCAAGGAGAAACTTTTGGAAGCTAAACACTCAGGACCAAGACTCTGTATTGATTTAAGTATGACTCACCACATGTCTAAGAAGGTAAAACATCCACTAGCTTCCAAATTCCTGATCAACCCTGTGCCTCTGTGCTCATAATGTCCCATAGTCAAGTTACAGCCTTTCAGTTTCAGTTTTCCGGAGACGAAATCTTTGACCTTCTACCGGGGAGAGGAATATTTGCCTGGTTCTGTGGAGATAACCTGGTGGCATGTCTTCCTGCAATGTATGTGTTTTAATGAGCACCCTACAGGTTCTGGAGTTCTGGGGATGGCTGAGCACATGGCACTCAACACTGAACAAATAAGATGGATAGCAATTTATCAGTCACACTGGAGGCCTGGTGCACGAAATTTGTGCATGGGTGGGCCCTAGGCCTGGCTGGCGATCAGGGCTGATCAGGGCTGGGCTAACTGGGGCCCAAAGGTTCTTAAATTAAAAACCTTTAGGGTCAGGAGAGGAGGCAACAGTCACTGGGCCAGGCGCAGTAGGAATGGACACCAGATGCTGATGCTGCCTTGGCACCCTGCCATGGTGCAGTTCCCCGTCTTAACCCCTCCTCCTTCCCTCATTGCCAGACTTATGGGGGGGCCTTCTGGCCTGCTGGCTTGGTGGAGGGGCCGCGGAAGGTTGGCTGCCGGCCTTCAGCCCTCTTGGGAAAGGTGTTGTGTCCGCCACCACCCATCTCCAGTTCCCTGTCCCATCCCTGGGCCCAAAGGCCCCATGGAGTCGGGAGAAGAGGTGATAGGCCAGGCACGGAAGGAATGGACGCCAGTACCCTTGTTGGTGCCCGCCACTGCGCAGTTCACCTCCCCCTCCCACCCCCCGCGCTTCCCTCGCTGCTGTGCTGCCACCACAGCAAGCAGGTGGTGGGCCAAGGGGCCTGCTGGATGGGAGGGAGGGACAGGGCGCGGGAGGTTAAAACTTCTACTCCTTTACATCTCCTGGAGTAAGGGAGAAGGTGCCAAGTTTGTTTGATGGAGTATAAAAACGTCTGCATAGTAATCTAACCTCCATTTTTAAAAAATATATTTTGTTGATTTTTTACAGAGAGGAAGAGAGAGGGATACAGAGTTAGAAACATCGATGAGAGAAAAACATTAATCAGCTGCCTCCTGCACACCCCCCACTGGGGATGCACCCGCAACCAAGGTACATGCCCTTGACCAGAATCGAGCCTGGGACCTCTCAGTCCACAGGCCAACGCTCTATCCACTGAGCCAAACCGGTTTCGGCTAACCTCTCTTTAATAAATAGTAAACATCACATGGTAAGATTTTAGACAAAAGCTAAAAGAACAATCTCATATTAGATATGTAAGGACAGGTCCTGAAGGAGGGGGCGGGCTCAGTTTTTCCATTAACTCGCTGTTTCTTGGCTAGTTCATTACCTCAGTTGTCGTCTCTACGGTGATGCCAGGGGTGTGATGCGTACTCACACAAGCATGTGCTCACTTTCGGAGTGAAGGGGGTCGTTCTAGTTCATGAGAGTTTCCAGAGGCACTCAGTGGACTTACTGAGTAACCATTTATTGAATTTAGAGAGGGCATGTTTCCACCCTAAGTTGTTCTTGTTTCTTTGAAGGAACTAAGCAGGCTGGCTGGCCAGATCCGCAGGCTGTATGGTTCCAATAGGAAAGCTGACAGGCCATTTTGGATCTGCCTCACTGGATTCACAACGGACAGTCCCCTGTATGAAGAGTGTTTGAGGATGAATGATGGGTTTTCGAGTTACCTGGTAAGCCTCATTTTGCGTATTATTTGAATTGTCACCTATAAATAGGTTGTGGGTTAATTTTTTTTTTACTTTTTCATATTTTGAGAAATTACGTGTTTTCATTATTACAATCTAAATTTTTTTTTTAGCCGGGACCGGTTTGGCTCAATGGATAGAGCGTCGGCTTGGGGACTGAAGGGTCCGGGGTTCGATTCCGGTCAAGGGCATATACCTTGGTTGCGGGCATATCCCCAGTAGGGGGTGTGCAAGAGGCAGCTGATCGATGACTCTCTCTCATCGATGTTTCTAACTCTGTATCTCTCTCCCTTCCTCTGTAAAAAAATCAATAAAATATATTTTAAAAAAAAATTTTTTTTTTTAAATTTAAGAACCACTCATCAGTTCTTATATTTAAATTTTTTCCTTCATTCCACCATGTTGGCAAAATGTATGTAGGACTGTATTTTGTGTCCTGTAATGGTATGCTAGACTGTATTCCAGGGGAAATGCCATGAGTCTTTTCTTTGGAGGAAGAGAAAGAATCCTTATGGAAGTAATATGGATTTAAGATGGTTTTAGGGAATACCAAGTTGCTCTTCAGCTCTTTCAATGGGATCTCATACACGTAGCAAATGACGTACAGGCAAGAATCCAGATCAGTTCCTAAGAAATGCCACTGAACATGCCTTGTGTCGCTGAGTATGGGCAGTGTGGCCTTTCCCAGGGAGGCCCATGGAGGCGATGAGTGTGACGAGTGCCCCATGCCGTGCTGCACAGTCAGCTGCGGTTGCTGTTACTGTCTTAACAGTCCCTTCCGTAGTGCAGCCATTTCTAGCCTTGCTTTCTTCTGTTCGCGTTTGATGATTCCTGTAGCTGCACTAGAGACCCACTCTCAGGGCCACGTAGTCCCTTGCTCATGCCTTTCTTAGAATGATTCCCTCCACTTTGAGTGCTTCATTCTGTTGTACGAGTCAGTCTCACCTCTTTTCAGCAACCCAGTTCCAGCATTCCCTTCGCTACAAGGTTGTCTCTGGGGGTGTCGCTCCCTCACCCGTAGTCCTGGAGTGTGCTCCCTGTGTGTCTGTTAGGGCCCGTATACTTTCTGCCTCATTTCGTAGGGATGCAGAAAGTCTGTGCCTTTCTCTGTCCCCTCCCCAGCTGAGCACTTTCTAAGAACAGGTTGTCAGACATATAGCCCCTTGGTGCACCTAGAGCCATGCCTGAGAGAAACTACACGTCCAGCAAACTACTTGCTGCACCCTGGGCTGTCTTAACCTAGTTCACAGTGCACTGATTATTTGTATTTTTCAGCTAGACATAACAGAAGAAGACTGCTTTAGTGTATTCCCCCTGGAAACTCTTGTGTACCTGACTCCTGACTCCGAACATGGTATGTTCTTGACTACATAGATTCATGTAGCATTCTATTGAGCTAGTTTCCCTGGTCTGCTCCCTCCATTGGCCCTTTTGGATCAATTAGATATATATCATCTATTTTAGAAAATCATCTATGTCACATAATTTTTAAGTTTATTGATATTAAGTTGACCTTCATATTCTCTTCTATTTCACATTCCTTTGTAATTTTAATTTTGTCTCCTTCCTGAATCCTAATGTTGATTTGAGTCTACTACCTTTTTACCTTTGATAAGATATTCCAAAGGTTTATCTATTTTTTTTTTCTAGAGGATTAGAAAATCTATCTTTGTTTTCTATTTCATGAAATTCCTACTTTTATCATTCTTTCCTTTTTCTTTCTTTGGATTTAGAAATTATACAGATTTTAATCTCATTAGACTTTATTTCTTCATTAGCTCTTGAAGATGTTGATCTAAACAAAGTTTACATCCTTGGTGGACTTGTGGACGAAAGCATTCAGAAGGCAAGTGTACATTTTTGGCTGAAAAACTGTATTCTGAAAAATGGTTCTTACTTTTAGAGGCACCTACCCTGTAATAATCTTACCCGAAGGCCTAGAAACACTAAGGGAATAGGAGGAGTCTATTCTGCCTGAGTTGGCCCTCCCTCTTGGGAAGTTCCCTCTCCTGCTCAGCAATGTCAGCAGTGCTTTCCTGACAGAACCCAAGACCAGGACGGAGTGTTTGGTAATTACATCAATAGCCATTGTGGAGCTCCTCTCTCTCTCCATTTCTGTAAGGATAGCTCTGATCTTGACCAAGGAAGTATTGCCTCAGCATTCTTACTAGCTGTATGTTCTTGGTGAGAGAGTAGTTTGCTCCTTCTTAGTCCATCTTCCCTGCTGATGTAAATCTTATAAGCTCAATCTCAATAGTACTTGTCCAGATTTCTTTTATTGAATTGGAATTGTATTGGAATAATTGGAGTTTTTCAATGTGTTTCTATTATATAAATATTTTTGATAATTTTGTTTATTTTACTAATTAGCATTGCATAGATAATAAAGAATAACATAAGAGTTAAAATGTATAAAAAAGAATATAGTGAGAATAAGTCTCCCTCCAATCCTTGTCCCCCAGGGTCCCCCAAATAAGTGAGGCGTTGCTCCACAAGCTATTTCTTACTTGGGACAAAGACTCTTCATCATCTGCAGAACTCTTAATTATCTGCAGGCTGCTTTTCTTTTTTCTCACTTTATCTTTTTAAAATTATTACTTTTTATTGAATTTGTTGGGGTGACATGGTTAATAACAGGCTTATTTTTACTACACTTATCATCATTAATTATAATTACAGATGGAAATTAGGGTGATAAATGGGGATTCTCACAGTTTGCTATGCATGAAAATATTTTCATGTATTATTTTTAAAAGAAAAATATTTAACTGTGATTTACAGAAGGTGACATTTCAAAAGGCTCGAGAACACTCTGTCAAGACAGCCCGCTTGCCAATCCAGGAATACATGGTCAGACGCCAGAATGGGAAGAACTATCATTCAGAGATATTGGCCATCAATCAAGGTACAGCTCATATGGCCCACACTTAATATGTGTGAATTAGTTCTGATGCCTAAGTATGAATGGCCTTGATGCAGCTTCCCCCCCATGACTGATGTGCTTGTACTTTATTGCATGCGCTTTGTGACATGTATTCTGGCTTCTCAGAGCTATTTTTAATTTTCTTCCTAATTCCGATCTATGTTAAATGCAGTTGAAATTGTTGCCTTGACCCAGAATGCCCTGCCTTATCCCATGATTGACCAGTGAATTCAGGATTCAATCCACAGGCATTTTGGCTGCTCCTCCCTGTCCCAGGCCACGTCAGGACCCTTCCTTTGTGTCCCCACTGTATTGTGTTCCTCTCTGCTGCAGCATGGTCCACTTATACGCCTACCTCTCTCAGTGTAGGCAGTGCTTATGGGCAAGCAGGGCCTGTAGCTTTGCCTTTGTCTCCCCAGGATCTAGTAGCAGGTGTGGTACAGAGTAGGTTTGTTGAATATTCAAGAACACCCTTTTCATTAGTCATTTACTAGTTCTTTTTTCAGTGTGTGGTCACTGTGTTTTCTCTTTTATCTTACAGTATTTGATATCCTGTCCACTTACTTTGAGACTCAAAACTGGCCTGAAGCATTGAAGAAAGGAGTTTCTTCCAGAAAAGGTTATGTTCTTCAGAACTCAGTGGAATGATGGACAGCCTAAGGCTGCACCTGCAGGAGGTGAAGTTGCTGGAAGGGCCTTGACCAGAGTAGAGCAAAGGTGGTGATGGCACACACCTGCCTTTACTTGACATCTCAGCTCTTCATTAGGATGTTACTAATCACAGGGACCACATTTTATGCTCTTTTGTATCTCCTATAGTGCCTAGCTCAGGAAGTGCCCAGTATATACTGACTAAGTAAAAAGTTTACATAATAAGGAATTAGCCCTTAAACTACATGACTTTGGGTGTGTTAATTTATTTTTCTACATCTGTTTGTGAAAAATCCATTTAGAGGTAGCTTAAATGATTAAATATTATGATATCAAGAGCTTAATTTTCACTAAAGTGGCATCATAAAGTTTATGACTTTGTCCATCCTGCTCTGATCATGCTGATTTTCCCTAACTCAGTAATATGCAGTACATGTGTTTTTCAGGATCAGCCTGTCCTAACCTCTTTAAGCCCCTATAGCAATTTCCCCACCTGTAGCTCCTACCTTGTCTCCCCTGTGCCGAGTATGGGTGTGGAAAGCTTCTCTCTTCCTAACTGTAGCCTTCCCACAGGACAATTTGTGGGAGTATTTTTGTATCCCTCTGAGCCTTGTACAAACTAGAGTTTTCACATATATTTGTAATTATTAGTTCAAATTGAAAAGCAAAAACAGTGCTGATAAGTCTAACTTGAAAATAGCCAGAAAACACACTGCATCTCACACAAGCATGTTAGAGAGCCTCTTATTATGCAAATCTCTGATCCTTTTTCTCATGTCCTACTTAGATATGGCTGCTTTAGTTAGTATGGCCACTTTATGTTGGTCAATTATTTCTTTATGTCTAAGCTGCTAGCAAATTAAAAAAATGTAATCTGTATTTCAAAAGAACCAAAAGGTTACCTCTGGGTTCTATCTCCTCCTTTTCACAATTTAATCCCTCAGGAACTATGAACATATTTAGGAATATCTTTATCAACATGTTCTATAAATCTCTGTCATCCAGAAGGGAGCTGTATGAAGAGGCCTCAGGGGGAGGTCTCTGACCAAAGAAACATTGTCCTGGATCATCTGTCTGGCTTCATTTTGGCCTCAAAATGCCAAATAACACAGAATTTCCTCTCCAACTCTATCACAAACATCTATAATTTTTTCAAAACCTAGGAAGGTAGTTTTTGTTTGGCTTCTAGGAAATGACCCTTAGCAAAATAAAATTTGGATGAACTTATACTCAGAGATCCTCATCATAGTGTTTTTTATAACACAAAAAAAACTGGACAGCCGAAACTGGTTTGGCTCTGGATAAAGCGTCAGCCTGCGGACTGTAAGGTCCCAGGTTCGATTCTGGTCAAGGGCATGTACCTTGGTTGCCGGCACATCCCCAGTGTGCAAGAGGCAGCTAATCGATGTTTCTAACTCTCTATCCCTCTCTGTAAAAAACCAATAAAATATATATTTTTAAAAAAGGGCACAGAGGCTGTCATTAAAAACAAAACAAAAAACTGGACATATTCAAAATATCCTATAACATGAAAATGAAATATTATGTAACTATGGAATTTTTAATAGCAATTATAAAATAAATATATTTAAATGTTTGAAGTGGACAAAGTCTATTACAAACTAATATATAAAAATGATCCTATAATTCCAATTTGAAAAACATACATTCACATATAGTGGTTGAGAATGTCAGCCAAGTTAAGCCTCAGTTTCTTGCACTAGGAGGTTGTCTTTTGCAGTTACTAAGAATAGGTTAGTACATCCAAATAAAACACTTGGAACAATACTTGATTTGTAAGCTTATGATAATTGTTAGCTGTTATATACCACTACATAATAGGATTATAAGTGATTTTTGTTTGCTTCTTCATACAGTGAACATGTTTTACTATTATCAGAAAATAAGTGTTATTTTAATGCTTACTTCCAGCAAAATTAAGGAAATTAACACCAAATAAATCATAATACTTACTTTTAGTAAACTTTATTATAAAAGAACCAAAAATACTATTTTATAATTATTTTTCTCATCCACAAGAACATGAGTGGTAACCAGTGATTTGTTTATAAAAACATTTTAAGACTCACATAAGACAGTATTTTATCTTCTGAAGATAAGTGGGGAGAGGTTCACCTGAAAAATTTCCCCCAGGGAATCCAGTCTTAGCTCACCTATAAAAAAATCCATAGATCAACTTTCTGCCAACCTGGAGAAGATTTGTTTTCTTTGATCTGCTGTCATATGTTCACAAGCTTCTAAAATGTTTGCCAAAATTAAGGTCTGCTGAATGGTTTTTGCCTTCACCCATATTCTCCCATTCATTCCAAACACTATTTCCAATGGGTACAGTTTTCCCACTTCCTGTAGGATTTCACAGTCTGGAGCTAGCAGCCTGGTGAGGAAAAGGAAAGAAAATGAAGTTTTAATGAAGTGGTACTGACTTTCCTTTAGGACTCCTTTTCTAGGCAGTTCTCCATAGTTATAAAAGCCCACTAACATCATTCCCAGCACAAGGCACATGACAACATTTACTGCCCCTTTTCTTCTAAGAAGATTTACACCGAGTGTATCAGGCCACAAATGGGCTAATCTCAACAAAGAAATCAAACTCCCTGCATCACCAACTTTACCAGAAACGTATAAAGTTCTTCCTCTACATTGTCAGAGCACCTTAATTCTAGACTTTAAAACCATAGCTTTTAAAAATTATTTACAGTGCTAAAAGAACATCTTAAACTTACTTTCCTGACCATGTAAGTTAATCCCTGGTATTAAATTCACTACCTGGAGAGAAGTGTTCACTCTTTCAAACCACAAGGGTGCTGCTTGATTAATAACATGCTTCTCTAACGACCTGAACTAATTCTCCAAACCTGCAGAATAAGTAGCAGAGTCAATCAAGAGAGCTCTGAACTTCGGGATCTACAACTAAAACCTTTAACAGGGCACAGCTTAGGGTAGGTAAAGGTGTAAACACCTAACAGAAAGAAACTTTTTTTTAAATTGATTTTTAGGGAGAGAAATATCAATGTGAGAGAAACATTGATTGGTTGCCTCCCGCATGCACCCTGAGTGTGGACTGAATCCACAACCTGAGTATGTACCCTGACCAGGAATTGAACCAGCCACCTTTTGACATATGAGATGATGATCCAACCAACTGAGCTGCCGAGGCTGAGAACTATTAAATCTACCAGATCAGTTAGCAGAAGTCTTCTGTGAATATGTCTGCATAAGCTCAAGGATCATGTTAGCCTATCTGCACTGCTCCCATCATTAGATAAATTTGGTGATTTTGTACAAATTGCATCTGTATTAAAGTGATGTGGGGGGAAAGGCCAGTTTTTATGTGTTTAATCTTAAAAAACCCAAACACAAGGATATGTTTTTACTGATTTTTAGAAAGGAAGAGAGAGAAACACCAATCAGTTGCCTGCCTTAAGCACCCGACAGAGAATCGAACCTATAACCTAGGTATGTGTCTTGACCAGGAATCAGACCCACAACCTTTTGGTGTAGGGGATGACGCCCTACCAACGGAGCCGTGTGGCCAGGGTGGAAAGGCCAGTTTTTATATTTGAGCTGAGATATCAGCTATAAGAAACGATAAACCTGGGAGGGCAGCCCAGACTCCATATCAACATAGAAACTAGACCACCAAGAACAATGGGACTAAATGCTTACAAGTATGCTTAAATGGATAATGATTTTTTAACTCTGAGGAAATTCTGATGCTGTTACGAAGAATCCAAATCCCAAAGATCAGTTGGCTTTCCAAGAAGATATATGAAAGACCAGGAAGCCAGAAAGCATTAGGACTTACTTTCTAATTAAGCCCAAAGTCACTTTAAAAAGTAGACCATCCTGTCCAATCACACCCATTCCGTTGGCTCGTCCACAGCTGTCAATACAAACCATCTCTGGTTCCATATCTTTATTAGCAACCACAAATTGTCCATAAATGAGATCTCCGACCTACAATGATAATTTAAAAATAGTAACCATTTTATAATTGTTCTTTCCCACAGACAGCAAAGCCAACCATCTACAGTTCTGTAGATAGGGGACTGACTACATGCCAGGATTCGCAGTCACTTAAACAGCATTAACACACGTACCCTCCCCCTTAGCCCACCAGGAAATCTCGAGACTGGAGCCATCTCAAAGCCAAAATACAAATACCCTCTAGAGCTACACTGTCCAATGTGGTAGCCATTTGCCCACAAGTAGTATTTTAACTCACTTTTGAATTAATTAAAATTCAGTACTTAAAATTCAGTTCCTTAGTTGCATTAGCCATATTTCAAATGTTCAACAGGCATGTGTGGCTAGGGGCTACCATACTAATCCTTGTGGAACTAAAGCATTAGCATCATCACAGAAAGTGCTAGTAGGTAGCTCTGCTCTAGGGAATTACAGAAGATAGATGGATAGAAGAAACTTCTGGCATGCATGTTATTTAAAGCAAAATGGAACATTGGCAATTCACTGACACTTCTCCGTGCAAGATTTTAAAATTTCAAAGTTGAACCTCAAAATTATGAAACTAAAGACACTGAGAGTGAACTTATTTATCTGTTAAGTTGGTGATTCTACTTATTAGTATAATATGCTAATTGTTGATATTTGGCTCTGTTGACTAATGAGTTTGCCAACCACTAGCCTAGAGTGATCACTCAGATGCTCGGAGGCCAACCTATAAAACTGGGAAAATAGTCATACTTTGGAGACAATTCTGGTAGCATTAAGAATATTTGGATGTTTTTCTTCTTTTGAAACCAAAGTTTCGTATCATTACCTGCACATTTGGTCTGTTTCTTTTAGTTGCACCTTCAAATGCCAAGTAAGACAAAGATGCTGGCTCGCTCCCTCCAACATCAACTTTAAATATATCTCCAGATTTAGCTGTCACTATGCCAATCACATGGTCTCCTTTCACTGGGACATACTACAAAAGAAATCAGAGTGAGAGAAAAACCATAAATGACAATCTTGGAAGATATCTTCAGCAAGTCCTTACTGGTTACTAACGTTTGTCATTGGAGGTATATAGGAAATATTTTGAAACCTAATTTACAAATTAATACAAATCTTACAATAAACTTGGTCATATACCACTTTCAGTAAAAGAAAAACAATCACATCATACAACTCTCAGGTTTACAGCTTCTAATAGTTTATTCATTTGAGCTGGTATCCCATACCTCTTCTGTGTCAGGAAAGCCATTTCAATGTTAGACAATTTTCCCTCTATGAAAAGTTCTTACTTATTCTAAGAGAAACTTAACTCCCTGAGACATCCACTCACTGAACCTGGTTCTACCCTTTGGGACCCCTAAAGATAAACCTGGTTATCCCTCATCTTTAGGTTTTGAAGACAATTACCATGTCTCACAGTCCTTATCCCTTACCAGAGGCCCAGTGCACGAAATTTGTGTGCTGGGGGCGGGGGCGTCCCCTTAGCCCAGCTTGTGCCCTCTTGTAGTCCAGGAGCCCTCGGGAGACGACTGATGGGTTAGGCCCATTCCCGGAAGCAGACCTGCGCCATCAGTCAGACATCCTTAGCACTGCCTCCGAGGCTGGAGAGGATTCTGCCACCACCGCTGTGCTCACCAGCCATGAGTCCAGCTAAGGGCTTCTGGCTGGGCTGCACTCCCCCCTGTAGCAGCACAGACCACCAGGGGGGGCAGCTCCTGTATTGAGCGTCTGCCCCCTGGTGGTCAGTGCCCATCATAGCAACCGGTAGTTCCACCATTTGGTCAATGTGCATGTTAGTCTTTTAATATATAGGATATGCCAAGATTTCCACACTCCTTTCTCTCCGAGTCATCCTTCTCCGCCCACGTTCCAGTTTGCCACAATCCCTCTAAGGTAGACTAAGTGGGCACAGACATAGTGGCTCTGGGCTAACTTTAACAGGAGGGCTCCTGGGCCCTCCTCCCTCCTCTTCCAAGGAGTCTTCCCAGAGCGGGGCTACCTCTCTCATGGCCGACCCACCCCCTCCGGAGTTCCACTCACCCGTTTCTGCTGCGAGTCCACCCAGTAAACGCCGCCGCCGCCGCCGCCGCCGCCGCCGGGCTCCTTGTGCCGGAGGCGGCCGCACTTGGTGACCAGCAGGCGGTCGCCGCAGCGCCGCAGGCCCGGGCCGCACACCACGCGCACCCGGGAGCGCACGCCGGCATTGAGGCGCAGCGGCCGCTCCCCGGAGCCCGCCAGGCCCTCAGCATCCTCCTGCTCGGGCAGCAGCAGCTCCTCACCCGGCAGCACCACCTGGTCCAGCACGGCGCGCGCCGCCCGCGCCCTGCCGCCCGCGAGGGGCACGGCTGCCGCCGCCGCCGCCGCCGTCGCCGCTTGGGCCATAACGGGCGGCACCAAACACCGTTTCCGGTTCCCACTTCCGGCGCGGCGTCCAATCGGCAGCCCGCCGAAGGCTCTCCGTTTCCGGCAGTAGCTGTCCGACGCGAGCCTAAGTCGATGAAGCGTGGTTCCCGTGGGCAGCCGGGTCCCCGCAGTCGGCCCGCGGGCCGCCGGTGGGCAGCAGCACTCGATTCGAGTGGGTCCCGGAGCTTCTACTTCCGGTGCCTCGGGTCGCCCGTTGGATACTAGACGCTTGCGCCGAAGGTTCCGTGAGAACAACGTGAACTGAGAAGGACGGTTTCCGGAGCTGGCCCTTCTTTCTGACATTACCCTCAGGAGTGAAAATATTTTCTTTTTCCAAAATAAAGCCTTTTTGGTTGTTGCTGGAGAAGCTATCTATTCACACTATTCGCTAGTCTATTCACACAGAGAAGAATAAAAATAAAATAAAACGTATTTGGTTTATACCCATTTGCCTCCCTTGCTAGGCTGTCAGGTAGGTAGTTCTCATTATTTGTAACCTAGGGTCTGGCACAAAATAGGTAACAGCTGATAAAAGGATGTTAACCTTTTGGTGTGTATTTCTCCCTAGACTTGTTTTCTACAAATATACACATATCATGTGCACATTTCTACATGCTTGGGAAAATCGGTAACTGCAGTTAAACCCTTGATGCTACTTTCTCTGGGGCACACTATATTTTCCCATCTTTTTTTTTTTTTTTATCCTCACCTGAGAAAGGGGGGAGGGAGGGAAGGAGAGAGAAAGATATCAAAGAGAAACATCCATTAGTTGCCTCCCCTGCATGTCCCCACCCAGGTATGTGCCCTAAGCTAATGCTAAGCCAGAGTTCCAGGATCACAACCCACTGGACTTAATCAAGATATCCATTTGGAAAGTTTATTTTTGCCCATTTACTCTTAGATTTTTTTCATTAATGCCTATTTCTTTAGGCCTGTGTGTTATTGGCTATATTGTGATGAACAGAGATTCTGCTTCTGACTGTGTGCTTCCTTGCCAGGTCTATGTGAACTGGAGAAAGTCTGACCTTCCTGCTTGAGAAAAGGCGATGGAGTTTGATCTTGCTATTTCCTAAGCTAATGATATTAAATATGACCATTTCAAAAAGCTCAAGGTATATAGCTTCAATCCAGAAAATGCCTGGGACATAGCTATCATTTCAGCCTTTTATGCCATGTCCAATCACCTCGCTCATTTTGTCAGTCTGGTTCCTAACAAAGAATTCTATGTGATGGACAGAAGCAATGATGTCAAAGACATCAGGAGTGAATCTGCTGCTCTTAAATATAAAAGCCTGAGTTAAAAAAAAAATGCATATTGCATTAGAAGACATCAGTTGGGAAGTAGTTTAAAAAAACACACAACAACAACAAAACAAAAAAAAACAACAACAACAACAACAAAAATCCAGTCATTGGGTAGGAAAAAAAGTAAATAAATTTGCTTCCTGCTTGACTGATGAGATAGATCCTAAGTGTTGGGTGTATCCAGGACATGGGATACCTGGGCCTAAGGGAAACCTTCACTAATTGTTGACTTACTTGTGATCTAAAAGAGCACCATGGTCAAAGAGTTCAGAGGATGTTTTAGGCATTTCTCATTAACTAATATCTGTGAGTTTCAGAAACTTAGGTTGAAATTTTTTTTTTTCTTTTAAAATAGTGTTTCATAGCCTAGCCAGCGTGGCTCAGTGGTTGAGCATCAACCAATGAACTAGAAGATCACGGTTCGATTCCTGGTTAGGGCACCTGCCTGAGTTGCAGGCTTGATCCCCAGTGTGGGGTGTGCAGGAGGTAGACGATCAATGATTCTCTCTCATCTTGGATTTTTTTTTTCTCTCTTTCCCTCTCCTATCATCTCTCAAATCAATTAACTATATTTTTTAAAATAATGTTACATAGAAGTTTATCTATATAGACTGTGATTTGAAATAAATTCTTTGTTTAAATGTTGTATGTAAAGGCTCACAAAGGCAGTGGGTAAATAGAAACACAGTTGAAGTTTTTCTGTCTTTAGTGTTTTCTCAATTAGATAACCACCAAAGTTTTTTTGTTTTGTTTTGTTTTTTTACTGGTGGGTTGTAAAATCATGATCACTTATTTTAATTTTTATGTAACTTATTCTAGGTTTTAGTAGAAATTATTCAGAATAAGTGAGCACTCACATTCTAACTAGAAGCACACAGTAAACTCTGGCATTACTAAATAATTTGTTTTGTGTGTTTCAGCCACTGCTGCCTTAAGTTTGTGGCTACCTTCACTTTTCAAGACTCATTCTCAATATCCAACTGCTAGAGATACATATAAACCTACAAAATGTTTTTGTTCCCATTTGGCTCCTCTGGATTCTCTAAGTGGTCAGTGAACAGTTCTTAGAGTGCTCATTTTTAATTTCCTGAGCTGTGAAATTTGATTGTATTGAGCCAATGCAAACACTCACAGAGCTTTGGTTTTCCTGTTGAAACTGTAACTTAAATACCTTGGAATACATCATCTTTGAAATTGAGTTTTATTTTGTTAAAAAAGTTAATTCTGGTAAACATATCATGGTCAAAGTTCATAAAACCATAACATTTTAGCCATTGGCTAAAACTTGTGGGTCAAGCAGAGGCCCTCTATTAAGTATTTGTTGCAGCCAGAAGTTATGTCTGAAGGGACATTATTAATAACTAGGGGCCTAGTGCATGAATTCATGCACCTTGAAAGGAACTGTGGGCTGTGAGGCTGAGTTAGGCACTGGGGCGGGTGTCAGCCCATCCTTTGCGCCCCCACATGGCCCTCCTTCAGCGGCCCCCAGTCCTGTCTGCTGGCAGCCCCACTTCCGCCTCCACAGCTTACATGCTCTGGTGGCACTGGCCCTGCTCTCACCTGCTTATGGTGCACAGCGATTGCAAGTAGCAGCTGCTGACCAGACTGCCCCTCAGGAGCAGGGGGAGGTGGAGAAGCCCTCAGTGATGATCGGGGCCAACAGCCACCGTTTGCACCGCTGATGGCGCTGAGTAATCAGAGCCTGCACCAGGAGCCAGCAGTAATGCGAGCGGGGGCTCCGGTGCCAGCAGCAGATGTGAGCAGGGCCAGTGCCGGCAGCAAGTGTGAGTGCAGGGTGGGACGGTGGCACATAGGAGCAAAGAATTTTCAGTAACTACGAGAGGCTCACCCTGATGACAGTGACCAGCGCCCCAGCTTGGTCTGGTGCCCTTGCTCACCTGCTCCACCATCCTGCCGGGCCAACGCCCAACATATTCCTCGCTCTGCAACCTGCTGCCTATGCCTGTCATGTTTCCGTGCGCCCTCTGGTGGTAAGCGCATGTTATAGCAACCAGTTCCTACATTTATCTATTTGTGTATTAGGGTTTTATATATGATAGGACAGACCTCTACCCCTGCTGCCCTGTGGGGACAAGATGGAGAATAGCTCCAGAGGAATGGATGCCTTGATCCTTTCTGAACTCAGGACGCTTGCTTCTAGTCCTTTTTTCAATCAACTCATAGGCAGGTGAGCTAAATAAGTTTATGGTGGGAGCACCTGCCGAATGTTCAGCCCTTTCTGAATTTCATTCCTGTTCTCCAGAGACCCTTCAGATCTATTCTCACAGGATGGATAGATCTTTCAACAAAGATCCTTCACGTTTTCCTTCATGGATCCACAGGCGCCTTCCTGCAGAGGGAGATCTGGCCTGTGCAGGAGCTGGCAATCGGGCAGACAGCTATTCAGGACAACAATATGCCTCCGATATATATTTTCTCACAGAGAGGAAGAGAGAGGGATAGAGAGCTAGAAACATCGATGAGAAAGAGACATCGATCAATTGCCTCTTACATACACCCCCCAGTGGGGATGTGCCCGCAACCAAGGTACATGCCCCCGACTGGAATCGAACCCGGGACCTTTCAGTCCGCAGGCTGACGCTCTATCCACTGAGCCAAACCAGTCTGGGCAGGCCAGGGCTTTTTAGTGCAGAAGCTCCTTTCCCAGGCTGAGCAGTCAGTGTGTGTGTACCCCTCACACGCGTTGGTAACGTCTTCCCCTCGCTGGCCCCGGGGTGCAGCGGGGATCACAGAACACAATCACGCGCAGCCTCTCTGACTGGTCAGGACCACCGTCAGCGACAACTCCACACCCACCGTGGCCCTCCGGGGCCAGAAGCTAACGGTCCCGATCCAGCCCCCAAAAACACCTCGTCGCCGCCTTCCTGCCGCGGCCGGCCGGTGCTCCCCCGATCGCGGTCCCCGGCGGCCGAGCGGCGGCGCGGGTTTCCCAGCCGGCGGGGTTAGGCCTGCGCGCGCCGGAAGTGGCGGCGGGAGCGGGAGCGGGAGCGGGAGCGCAGAGCTGTAGGCCGGCGGGGCAGCGGCCCGGAGCCGCGGGCGGGGGCGTCGGTCATGTTTCCCTGCGGGCCCGGTAGCCCCGGAGGGGACCGGACGGCCGGAGCCGGCGCTGAGGAGCCAGCCCCGCTCGGGGAGCAGGCGGCAGCGGCCGGGCCGCTCCCTGCCCCCCTGTTGGCGCCGCCGCCGCCCGGGGCTGACGCAGCCCCTCCTCCCCTGTCGCCCTCCAGGAGCCCTCGCTCCGCCCGCAGCCCCTCGCCGCCGTCCCCCGCCGCGCGCGCCGGCGAGCCCTGGCCGGCGGGAGCCCCGAAGCCCCCCGCGGCTCCGGCCCCGGGGAAGCCGAGGTCCCCGCTCTCCCCGCCGCGCCGGCGATCGGGGCCGGACTGCGGGGCCGACGCCGGCCCGGGCGGCCCGGGCGCCCGGCTGTTCGGGTGGCTGCGGGAGCGCAGCCTGGGCCGCGGGCTGTTCGTGGACCCGGCGCGGGACAACTTCCGCACCATGACCAGCCTCTATGGCTCCATCCACCCCGCGGACTCCGTGTACCTCAGCACCCGCACCCACGGGGCCGTCTTCAACCTCGAGTACTCGCCCGACGGGTAAGCGCGGCCCTCGGGGGGCGGGCACCGCGGACGGAGGCCCCGGGCTGGCAGCCCGATGCGGGGCGCCGGACTCCGGGCCCCGGGCTCTGGCCTCCGTGGCTGGCGCCTTGAGGCGGGTCCGTCTCTCACCCGCAGGAAGGCCCGGCTCGGGGTTGGAGAAATGCGGGCCCAGAGCTAGGTAGACGTTCACACAGTAGGTGTTGATGTTGAGTAGAAATACACGGACTAGATGCCCGTCCTGTCCCTGTCACCCTAGGCCTGCGTTTGTCTCCTTTAAGCTGGTGTCGGGGCGAGGCAGCTTGCAGGTGCCCTGTGCCCGGTCCGAGGGGACCAGCGCGCGTTCCTTTGCCCCAGGAAGATGCCCAGCGGTACCTGACGATGTAGGACATCGGTGAAGCTCCCAGGCTGGGCTACCCGCTTCTGTTCAGGGGGCCCAGCATTTTCTTGGCTGATGGAATATTTCATGCTTGGCCTGGATATAATTTTCAAAGTATATCTTTAAAAAATTTTTTTATTGATTTTTTTTTTTTTTTTTTCAGAGAGGAAGGGAGAGGGATAGAGGGTTAGAAACTTCGATCAGCTGCCTCCTGCACACCCCCCACTGGGGATGTGTTCACTACCAAGGTACATGCCCTTGACCGGAATCCAACCTGGGACCTTTGGGGCTGCCTGCCTTTATCAAGCACTTTCCCATTTTCTTTTCTTTTCTTTTCTTTTCTTTTCTTTTCTTTTCTTTTCTTTTCTTTTCTTTTCTTTTCTTTTCTTTTCTTTTCTTTTCTAAAATATATTTTATTGATTTTTTACAGAGAGGAAGGGAGAGAGACAGAGAGCTAGAAATGTCGATGAGAGAGAAACATCAACCAGCTGCCTCCTGCACAACCTCTACCGGGGATGTGCCCGCAACCAATGTACATGCCCCTGACTGGAATCGAACCTGGGACTCTTTAGTCCGCAGACCGACGCTCTACCACTCAGCCAAACCGGTTTCGGCGACTTTCCCATTTTCATATGGTCTTTTGTGAGAACTTCATCCTCTGGGGAGAAATGAAGAGGGCAGTCTAATGAGAGTAATAATACTATTTCAGGTACTATCCAAGCATATTAACTCTTGGCATAGTGTGTACTTCTATGGCAGGATAAAATCTATAGTAGAGGAATGAGGCCTAAGGGAATGGTTTATGGATAAATGACTCTTGGGATGCAGATCCCTAATTTGATCATTCCTATTGCATTTTGCCATTATTTATTGAGATAAGTTTGCCAAAACCCACTGAATGCCAGCCCACCATGGTATTGATAACACTCATTAATGAAAATGCCTGCCAACCTAACTCTTCTCTGTACCAGAAACATTTAGTTGAGGGAACTGAGAAGCAAAAAGATTATCATGTACGAAAGATTTCTATTCTGACTTCTACTCATAACTGCCATATTATATTACCTCTCATCTGGGCTGAGGGATTAGATTCGAATCAATTAAATATGATATATCAATAAATTACTTTTATCACTTAGTTATTAATATGAATACATATTGAATATAGAAAACTAACAGCAAGCATTAAAAATACACTTAGTTCAAAAGTTAAGAATGTACAATTCTGTTAATGATTTTTTTTAACTTATCAAGACTACAACTCACATAATGACTACCTATTTAATAGGGAAATTCTTAGAAGGGCTTTATGCAATTTCCTATGTCCATGGTTCAGACAAGGGCATCTGGATCAAACAAGATTGTGGCTACAATTTCCAAATATTAATAAATGATTGGAAGTTACTAGAATAATGTGTTGAATAATTTGAGTTACAACTAATACCATTTTTATAATCTATAGGATTATTATTTTAATTTTATTCATGTTAATTTATACTAATAAATGTTTAACTTTTTAAAGTATCATACTTGACTATATGTTACTTTATGCTTGTTTTTTAAAACACAAAGGAAATTTATAAAATTTCCACTTTTAAGCCCACATATTTCAAAAGCTTATTTTAGAGTACAGTTTTTCTAGTACAATGTGATTGCTATAAATTAATAAAATAACTATTAAAAAACTCATGTGTTTTAAAGTTAAGAAACATTTATAAATAACTCAGAGCACGCAATGGGCTTGGAGCAGAAATAACAGTGGAAATTAGAACTAAATGATAATAGAAGTACCACATGTCTCAAAATTTGTAAGGTTATATGTAAGTAAACTAGTTCATCATAGGAAAATTATAGTCTTTAATAAGCTGGAAAGAAAGACAGGGAAAATTAATGAGCTAAGTGTCCATCTGAAGAAAAAGAATAGTTATCTGCAAATAACAGCAAAGTAAATCTTTGCAGAAGAAAGGAGAAGAAAATTCTAGAAAATAGAATTAGTGAAATTTTGTTTTGATTTTATTTTTGAAAAAGAAAAACAGATTTGTTCCACTTACTTATGCATTCATTGGTTGATTTTTATATATGTCCTGACGAGGGATTGAACCCGAAACCTTGGTGTATCAAGACGACACTCTAGCCAAGCCAGGATGAATTAGTGAAATTTTAAAATTCCATAGCAATACCCAATTGAAAGAAAAATGTGTCTTTGAAAAGATAAATACAATTGAAAAACACTCATCAATCAAGAGAATGCCCAAATATACAATATTAAAAATGAGCCCTCCCTGGTTTGGGTCAGTGGAGAGAGCGTCGGCTTTCAGACTGAAGGTCCTGGGTTTGATTCCAGTCAAGGGCACATGTCCAGGTTGCGGGCTTGATCCCCAGTAGGGGGTGTGCAAGATGCATCAATCAGTGATTCTCTTTCATCATAGATGTTTTTATCTCTCCCTATCCCTTCTTCTCTGAATTCAATAAAAATATATTTTAAAAAGAAAGAAAGGTGGGGGGCGGGGGGGCGGCAATGACTTCAGATGCAAAAGATAGTTTGTAGTTTCCCAGAAGTAGTAAAATAGATGGTTTGGACCAACCCTCTGAGAATAATTTTTTTTTTTTTTTTAATATATATTTTATTGATTTTGTACAGAGAGGAAGGGAGAGGGATAGAGAGCTAGAAACATCGATGAGAGAGAGTCATCGATCAGCTGCCTCTTGCACACCCCCTACTGGGGATGTGCCCGCAACCAAGGTACATGCCCTTGACCGGAATCGAACCCGGGTCCCTTCAGTCCCCAAGCCGACGCTCTATCCATTGAGCCAAACCGGTTTCGGCCCTCTGAGAATAATTTTAAAGACTAGAGAAAATATAAATATTTTATGTAAGATATAAAAACCTTATTTGGAAGGATGGAGACAATGAGGAAATTGTAGGGCCAAGAACTGCAAAAAGAGGGAAGCCAGAGATGTGAGCTCACCATTGTAGCCAAATAAATCTAGCAATATGATAGGAATGAAAAGTTGGTTTGACTTTTCATTTGGTTTGACTTTTATTAGAAAATAAATTAATGTAAATCACTACATTAACATCTTAAAGGAAAAATATAACGAGAGAATTTCAATTAATATTGGAAATGTTTCATACAGTTTAACATATTTTAATGAAAAAGAAACTTAGCAATTTGTTGTATAAGAGAACTTCCTTAATCTAAATAATGGGAATTTGGTAGCTTCAATGACAAAAAAAACTCTATAGAATGCATTGTATTTAATGATGAAATGGGGAATACATTCTTGAAGATAGAAAGGAACAAGACAAGAGTGGCTGCTATATTAACATTTCTATTCAATATTGTACTGAAAATCCTAGCCAGTGCTGCAAGGGAAAAAAGGTAATAAAAAAGAAAAGAACAATTGTTTGTAGATATATTATCGACAAAGAAAGTCAGTGCATCTCAATAAAAATACCAATAAGATGTCTTACTAGGATCTGATATACTATATCTAAAATTTACTTGGAAGAGAAAGCATAATATTAGCCCCTGAAAAAATTTATAAAGCAGTGAAGGTATCTTACCTTGCCACATATCAAATATACTTTTAGAAATTAAAATAGTGTGGTAATGTTGCATAGAATACAACAGAGTACAAAAACAAAACTTATATATGATAATGATGGCATTTCAAACCAATGAGAAAAGCGTAGGCTTTGATATGGGGACAAAATATATACACATTTGTTTTGTTAATCCTCACCTCAGGATATTTTTCCATTAATTTTTAGAAAGTGAAAGGGAGAGGGAGAGACAGAAAGAAAGAAACATCAATGTAAGAGAGAGACATAGATTGGTTGCCTCCAACACAAGCCTGGACCAAAGTTACAACTCATGCCATGTACAAAAATATAATTGGATTAAAACAAAACAATGTTTTATAGATCTCCTATTTACAATGATTAAGGTTAAGACTCTCAGAATTATTGATTCATTTCCTGTTATACAAGAAGAAAAGTCCATTCCATGTCTCTTCTGACTAACAAAAAGAAATGTCTATTTATACACCATCTAAAATTATAGACATTAATTTGAATACTTCTTATTCATGATGATCAATTGGCACAAAAGTCCATCAGATATAGTAAATATTTGAAGTCTACTAAAAAAAAAATGGTGTTTATGCAGATGCCCTTTGAAGGATAATTTTATGATTACTAAATATGAGGAAAGTTTGAATTTTTCCCTCTCCAACTTTATCTAAAAAGCTTTTTCTGAATACAAAAGTTTGTCTATTTGATATTCTATCTTTTGCACTTTCAGCTTAAATGTACAAAATTCCACTTGTTATTGGAACAATAAATTGAGGAGACTGTAGTTTCAAAGACTCATGATTTTATTTGCTAGATCTGCATCTGCAGTGCCCACAGAAAACTAGACTTAACCAAAATCAATAAAAGACAATGGATTTTTAGAAATCAAAATGAGGCTTGTAAAAGGTTTATGAAAATATAACTGTAGCCGAAACTGGTTTGGCTCAGCGGTAGAGCGTCAGTCTGCGGACTGAAAGGTCCCAGGTTTGATTCCGGTCAAGGGCATGTACGTTGGTTTCGGGCACATCCCCGGTAGGGGGTGTGCAAGAGGCAGCTGGTCGATGTTTCTCTCTCATCGACGTTTCTAGCTCTCCGTCTCTCTCCCTTCCTCTCTGTGAAAAAATCAATAAAATATATTTAAAAGAAAATATAACTTTGTAATAGGGAAGGGTTTTGAAAATAGAGTACTAAAAAAACAAGGAAAAGATAAGACTATTTATGTCTAACTGATAGGATATATACTTTTTCAGTGCATTTTAATACTGATAAATACATAATTTTATTGTATAAGATTTTCTCTCTACGTTGCTTCATTTCAGCTTTTCTCATTTAAAACTTTGTTTTGGAGTTCTTTCATATCGTAACCATATTAAACTATCTCTTTTAAAAATCAGTCATCCTTCTTTCATATACATTTAGGTTTCTTTCAATTTCTCCTTACAATGAAGCATATATTCCTTGTATTTATGAATGATTATGTGTCTAGATAAATGCCCAGAAAAAAAATTGCTGAGTCAAAATATATGCACATTTGAAACTTGATAGATACTTATACTCCTCAAACATAAACTACACCAGTTTGTATTCCACCATAATGTATGAGAAGACCATTTCCTACTAGTGCCAATAGTGGATATCATTAGTATTTTAACTATTTCCTACTAACATGGGCAAAACTTATAGTTTGCATAATTATAAATAAATATAAATAACCAGAGAATACTAGAAAACTAAACAAAAGAAATGTGTCACTTGCTTTCAGGTCAGTGCTGACAGTTGCTTGTGAACAGACTGAAGTTCTGCTTTTTGACCCTATATCATCTAAGCACATAAAAACACTTTCTGAAGCCCATGAAGACTGCGTAAATAATATCAGGTTAGTATTATAGTAAAAAAGTGAACTTTATTATTGTCACCAAAAATATTCTGTTTTGGAAGTTCATGAAAATGTGTAATGCTTTTTCGGCAGTGCTAGACATACAGTACACATTTGTGAGTTGTGAATTTTATCCCTTGTGAAATTGATCCCTTTAATTATAAAACTTATTGTTAACTGTTTTGGATTAGATTTGGATTCTTTCTGAAATACATTTTTCACTTCCAAATGATTTTATTTTTCTTTTCATATATTAGAATCATCATTATGAACCTCATCTAGTATGATAATAGTCTTGTATTGCCTTTAGGCTTTGGCAATCCTGTTACTTAACTTGTTTCACCACCAGCTCCCAAATTCAAACTATTGAGGGGAAAAGGCACATATGCACAGAGAACTTCTTTATAGGACTGTTGGAAGCTTCTTAAATTCTCAGTAATGTGGGAAATAGATAACAGTTGAACAGCTTGGTGGATTAATATGCAGTCATTAAAATGATGGTCCCAAAGACTACATATCAACATATATAAATGCTTGGAATAATATAGATTAAAATCATGACATAAACTACAAATGTGATATGATGCAGAAAAAAAAAGATTAGAAGGAAATATTTTAAAATGCTAACAGTAGATGAGTTAGAATAGATTATGAGCAATTTTATAAACTTTATGTAGAGATTATATTACTTTTTTAATGATTACTTTTAATTAAAAAAAAAACTGTGGAAATTACTTCTAGTCAAGATGACCTATTGAGTTTTAATGTAACCTCTATGCTCTAAACACATCTAAGAACAAAAAATTAAGTAGCACAAAAGATATACCCAGGCTGTGAAACAGTAACGTCTTTGTGGGCCAGAAATTGAACACAAAAAAGTGCTAGAAGTACTTCATGTGAGATGGAAACCAGAATCACTACATGAAGCCAGGGGTTTTGTTGGAATGTATATCTCATTTGTGAAAGGATGAAAAAAGGAAAAAGCTGTTAACTACTGGGGCTATAGTTTTAGTTGATAAAGACACAGACTCATGACCAGGAATTGATTAAGTCATTATTGAGTCAGTGATTGAATATATGTGATAGCTTCAATATCATCATGAAACTGCAGGTCTTAATATTATTATAAGGTCTAGTTGTCATTTAGGGGTCCAGTAATGCAAAGTGGGGCCAACTAAAAACTATCAAATAGGTGGAGAGAGAGAAAAACAAAACAAAAACAAAAACCTTTTACTACTCAAAATGTGCCTACAACCCAAATCGCAAAACTCATGAAGACATCTAATATTAATATCATAACAAAATCAGCAACTAACACAGGCATTTTCTCTGGATGAAATTAATTTATGGAGTAGTCCAACAAAGACTTTATTTTAAAAAATAAATTATTTTATTTATTTTTATTTTTTTTGACTAGGTAATACATGCAAGAGGTACAAAATTCAAAGGTACAAAAGGGTAAACAGTGAAAAGTAAGTCTATCTCCCACCTCTGTCCCCTAGCCACCCAGTTCCCCTCCCCAGAGGCAACCACTATTACCAGTTTCTTGCTATCTTTTCTGAGATAGTTTGTCCATATATAAGCATATATATACTCATACATAAATACATACATACACTTTTATATAAATGGTAGCATTCTATACATACTATTATGTACTTTGGTGTTTTCACTTCAAAACATATTTAGAAATCATTTCATATTAGTATCCATGAGGTGATATTATTCTTTTTAACGGCTGCATAGTATTCCATTGATTAGAAGGAACTTTAAAGCATTTTTAGGATGCTCAAAGAAATAAGTTGAGGGGTGCTTTCTTGAAACAGAATGAAACAAAAACAGGTTAATGTGGAAATGAACCAATTAGAATTCTTTGTAGTTGGTATATAAAAACACAGTAGATGAGATAAATTTACCCTTTACAGTATAAAATTAAAGTTTACACCATTGGTGATAGAATTAATGGGTTGGAAAATAGTACTAAAAATTTCTTCTAGAACACAGGAAAAAGATACAAATATGAAAGAATAGTTAAAAGATATAGAAGATTAGTTGAAAGACTCCAATAAATATATAAGAATTACAAAAAAAGAGAGAAGATGCAGAGATTGGTGGAGAACTAATTTTTTAAAATATATATATTTTATTTATTTTACACAGAGAGGAATTGAGAGAGGGATAGAGAGTTAGAAACATTGATGATAGAGAAACATTGACCAGCTGCCCTCCTGCATATCCCCCACTGGGGGTGTGCCGCAACCAAGGTACGTGCCCTTGACTGGAATCGAACCCAGGACCTTTCAGTCCGCAAGCCAACGCTCTATCCACTGAGCCAAACCGGTTTCTGCGGTGGAGAACTAATTTTTGAAGACAGAGGGGCACAGAGACAAGTAATTCTTAGCACTGAAGAGGGACCTGAGTCCTTCCATCAAGAGTAAAATCTAGAATATCAAGTAGGTTAAAGGAAAAAAAATCCACATCTACATAGGTTGTAATGAAACTAGAATATCAAAGATAAAGAGAGCATCATAAAAGTCACCGAAGTTAGAAGCCAGATAACCTACAGAGGTATGATAAGCTAACAGAAGGTTTCTTATCAGCAACAATTGATGCTAGGAAGAAATGGAATACCTTAAAAAATACTAAGGCAATGCCTTGTCTTATCCAGGTAAACTGTTATGTTAGAGTAGTGTTTGTCAACCTTTCTAATACTGCAACCCTTTAATACAGTTTTTCATGTTGTGGTGACCCCCAACCATAAAATTATTTTCGTTGCTATTTCATAATTGTAATTTTGCTACTGTTATGAATGGAAATGAAGATATCTGTGTTTTCCAATGGTCTTAGGTTACCCTGCTATTTTTAGTTTTTTATAAGACCATCGGAAAACACAAATATTTACGTTACCATTCATAACAGTAGCAAACCTGCAGTTATGAAGTAGCAACGAAAATAATTTTATGGTTGGGGGTCACTACAACATGAGGAACTATATTAAAGGGTCGCAGCATTAGAACGGTTGAGAACCATTGCTTTAGAATGAAGAATTTTAATTAGGTGAAATGATATTAATTATTATTAGCAGAAATATAATTAGGGGCTTTTTAGGGGGTACATTTATTTATTTTTTATTTTTTAATTTTTAAAAAAAAATATATTTTATTGATATTTTACAGAGAGGAAGAGAGAGGGATAGAGAGTTAGAAACATCGATGAGAGAGAGTCATCGATCAGCTGCCTCTTGCACACCCCCTACTGGGGATATGCCCGCAACTAAGGTACATGCCCTTGACCGGAATCGAACCTGGGTCCCTTCAGTCCCCAAGCCGAAGCTCTTTTCATTGAGCCAAACTGGTCTCTGCTAGGGGGTACATTTAAAAGAAAATTAAAGTTCTTGCCGAAACCAGTTTGGCTCAGTGGATAGAGGGTCGGTCTGCGGACTGAAAGGTCCTAGGTTCAATTCCGCTCAAGGGCATGTACGTTGGTTGTGAGCACATCACGGTGAGGGGTGTGCAGGAGGCAGCTCATCGATGTTTCTCTCTCATTGATGTATCTAGCTCTCTATCCCTCTCTGTAAAAAATTAATAAAATATATTTTAAAAATTAAATTAAAGTTCTAATTCTGGTCCCTTAAGTAATTTTCTAGTTGCATTAAAAAAGAAATCTTTAAAATTAAATTTTAATAATACATTTTAGATAACCCAGTATGTCTAAACTATTATTTCAACATAAAATCAGTATAAAACGTATTGAGGTGTTTTAAATATATATATATATTTTTTTTCATGCAAAATCCAGGGCATATTGTATATTTAGGGTACATCATTTCAGACTGGCTACATACCAAGAACTGAAAAGTCACATGTGGCTAATGGCTACCAAATTGAACAATGTAGTTCCAGAGAGTAACAAAAACTAGGTTGTACCCATTTTTTTGGATACATATAGGAAGGGTTTTGTTCAGTGGGAAGATATAATAAGGTCTCTGTCTTGTTCAGAAAAATAAAATAAATTCAGAACGTTTCATTAAATATATATATGATAAAAAACAAAAAGTAGCCGGGACCGGTTTGGCTCAATGGCTAGAGCGTCGGCTTGGGGACTGAAGGGTCCCGGGTTCGATTCCGGTCAAGGGCATGTGCCTTGGTTGCGGGCACATCCCCAGTGGGGTGTGTGCAAGAGACAGCTGATCGATGACTCTTTCATCGAGGTTTCTAACTCTGTATTTCTCTCCCTTCCTCTCTGTACAAAAATCAATAAAATATATTTAAAACAAACAAACAAACAAACAAACAAAAAAACCTAAAAGTAACTAAAGTAATAGAAGTACAGTGTACAGTTTCCAAACCAGCAGAAGAAGGGAAAAGAGAATATTGAAGACAGGAAAGCTTAAAAAAGTGTTAATAATAATAATAATAATAATAAATAATGATAAAGCAAAGGAAAGATAATTAGAAAAAAGGAGTAGAAATAGTTCTAAATATATGTGTAGTTCACAATGGGTATAAATGGGTAGATCTTATTAAAAGACACAGAGACAGCAATTTGAATGAAAAACAAAATCATTTATATATTCTCTATAGAGATACCAAAAATGCCCAGAAATGGAAAAAGAAAAGTGATGTAGGTTATTATTGGACAGATGGAAGACCAAAGTCTTTAATAATATTAAGAAAAGGAAAAATCCACAATTAGATATTTATAAATATGCAACTTGCAGTATAAAAACCAAAATGGAGTGATAAGGAATTATAAATCTACTAGCGGTCCAGTTAACGGATTTGTGTACTTGTGGGGCCCTCAGCCTGGCTTGCGGGGATTGGGCTGAAACCAGCTCTCCGACATCCCCTGAGGGGTCCCAGATTGCGAAAGGGCGGTTCTCAGGTGACACCCCCCGGAATTGGGCTCCCTCCTCTCTGGTTCCAGGTGCATCTCTCAAGTACTGCAGCTGCCAAGTCACTGCAGCTTGGCAGCTCCTGTGTTGGGCATCTGCCTCCCGG